CAAGGGACAAGAAGTTGCAATGGTCATGGGGAAGCGGCCCAGAGAATGGGAGCAAAGCGGGAGAGGAGAAGAGCAGGACAAGGCTGCCACCAGAGGGCCCCTTGGTTATGACCCATAGGAGTGAGACGGCGTGGGTACCCCACCCCTCCCTCTTGCGCCACATCTAGCCACCACAGAGCACGGCCTTTATAGCGCCTGAGGTGAGGGGCTAGACCCTGGCTGCCATTGGCCACAGTGGCTGGTGTGAGACTGAGGGCTGCTGACACCCCGGGAAGGGGGCACAAATTAAGTGGTGGGCCCGGGAGTGGCGTGGGCCTGCGGAGAGACAATGGAGTGGAGAGTGGAGAGACACACCAGCCAGAAGGCAACACGCTCAATTGTCAGAGCTAATTCCTGGTGGGACCAGCAGTAGGCTGGTGAGTCATGAACCCACTAGAGTACCAGTTCCACCAGGGCACACCACATCCCATCCCCTTGAATACTCCAGCCACTAGGCGCTCAGACAACTTAGGCTTGGCCAAACACAGCCTAGACAATTCCCAGACCCTCTAAGCTAGCCCCCAATGGGCATTAAGGGACTTGCTCAAGGTCACTCAGCCAATCAGTGGCCAAAGGCAGGGAGTTGAACCCAGGAATCCTGGTTCCTCTAATTATTAGACTGCCCTCCCTATGGAATCATATATAGATTAGAGATGCCGAAATCAGTGATGAGATGATGAATAGAGACAATGATCTTTAACTAAGCCCTGAGATCTCTCTCCGGGGGGTGCTCCCGGGAGTAAATCTCACTCTTGATCCGCTCAGTGTTCATCCGTTGTGATAGATGATATATTGCAGTGCCATGTAAACTCTTCATAGCATCTGCTTATTACACCCCCACAGAGAGAATGGAAATGTCACTGTGATTTATAAGAGAGAAGCAGATTGAAACGAGGGATATTTCAGAATTAGTTAAAAATAAAAAACCTAGCTGCCGTGGGGCTCTTGGCACATCCATTAATAGAGCTCCAAGTGGCTCTTGAGAGTGGTTTCCTGGTGTCACAAGGTGCCTTGCTCTTTTGGCGCTTCCTGGAGAGAGCCCCAAAGTTCAGCTGCATGAGCTGGCCACCACTGTGCTGGCCCTAGGATGAGGCTCTTCCAAGCCACACATTGACTTGCTGCTTTTGGGGCTGATTTCCCATCAGGATGAAGGAAGTTCAGGGAAGTGCTCCAAGTCCAGAGCAAATGACATGCAGCTGAGCCCGCTGAAGTCTAGCACCACAGACAGAGGACATGTTTTTCTCAAGGGGTGATGAGAGAAGCACAGCAAGGAAGCGGAGAGATGGAGAGGGGAGGGAAATGTAGGAGCCACCTATACACATTGTGTTCATAAAGCTGCATGGAGCTTCAAGAGCTTCTACAACACTGGTGTTCATTTGGCTTCAACAAGAACCCTTGCAATAAATCTCCTCATGGAGAGGCTGATTTAGTCTTCAAATCCATGCCCTGGAACACCTGCCACCAAGGTAACTAATATGAGTAAGGATCCATTATACAGTCAACTCTAAGTATTTATTGGTACTTCTTTAAAACTCTCAGTTATGGACAGATTATCTTATTTGCCCTGGTGTAAATCAAGAGTTTCTCCAGTGACTAGCTATTGTTACTCATTTGTATTCCTTTTCCACCCAAGGGCCTCTTTGGGTATGTCTGGGAGCAAGTGGCCCACCCTGATTAGACAGATTTATACTATCATGTGTAAAAGAGTTATGTTAATAGTGCAGCACCAGCAGAGTTCTGGGCTAGCTGCCTCAGCGCAGACCCAGAAGGCAACATGGACCCAGACAGCAGCATGGTTATCCCAAGCCTCCAACAGTGCTGGCTAGAGGCTTGTTACCCGATGCACTGTAGACAGAGCCCTTATGCCCAGAGAGCTTAGACCGACCACAAACCCAGGTAAAAGAGAGGTGATCGATCCAAGGTCCCAGAGCAGGTTGGTGACACAGCTGGGAACAGAATCCAGGTCTCCTGCCACCCACTCCCATACCTGATCCTCTGGGCTACACAGCTGCTGACTATCACATACGGAGAATTTGGGCCACAGAGTATTGACAAGTTCACCCAGGTAGCTGGTAAATTTTAAACCAAAATGAGTGCTTCCTCCTTTTTTATCCTACTATATGCCTGTTTTACATGACCACTTCACCTGCAATTGGAGAAACCTGTCGGTTTTCCTCAGGGATTATAACCCTAATCTTAAAAGCCATCATGAAGTCTGCAGATAGGGTGAAAATTATTTTCCCTTCTGCAATTTGCTTCTTGAAAATATCTAAGCAAATTGCAGCCCTACGGTATTGATCAGACCTGGGTGAATGAAGCAAAAGAAAAAGTTACAGATTACATAGAGATATGTGTGCATATATACACATTTGTAAAGAAGTTACAACTATAGAATATGTAAGTATAAAAACTTTAAATATGTTTATATACTTTTTTGCCATAACCTAAACCAGCTTTTAGAATATCAAAGCTTGGTTTTTGCCTCCTCTGTTTCATTACAAGCAGAGATGCCCTAGAATACAATTGGTGGAAGACCCAGATAAAAGAAGCCAATTACCAACTTCTGTTGCCAATCTATTTGACATGGAAGGAATTTACACACTCCTGAGAAGACGAGCACAAAATCTTAAGAACGTTGTATGAAATGGAGCGGAGAAAACACCAGCAGTTGCAAAATAAGAAAAAAAATGCAGAAGTGGGAACAATAGTAACCTCCGTTCATTGTTCCTAAATAATATTTTTCATTATTAGCGGAGGAGGGTGGGTTGCACCTGGCTGTAGCTGCATGGAACCCGGAAGGAAGTGTGGCTCCCCCCCTGCAAGCCGGCCAGCAATTACCAGGTACCTTAAAGTAGAGTATATAACCCGCGGACTACACCAGTGCGCAGGTTAATTTAGCCTTTTTAAAAAAAAAAAACCACACACACACATTTAGGAAAAACCGCAGGTGATGTACGGGTGTGAGTTATACACGGGTGCGGGTTATATACGCTAATTTATGGTTACTTATCACCAGGCTCAATGACAGCCATTGTCACCATTCCATAGTTAGGGGAGTGAAATAATTGTCAAAATAAAGGTCACATTTTCCAGGAGTGGCTAGTGATTTTTGGATGCCTAAACTTTTGGAGCCCTAGAACAGAATTATCAGACACAAAAATGAACACAGTATGTTAGGGGAAAAAGTCAACATAGCTTTTATAAAGGGAAATTGTGCCTCACCAGTCTATTAGAATTCTTTGAGGGTGTCATCAAGCATGTGGACCGGCATGATTCAGTTTGTATAGTGTATAGGAACTTTCAGGAAGCCTTTGACAAGGTCCCTCAACAAAGGCTCTGAAGCAATGTAAGCAATTACAGTGTAAGGAGGGACAGTCCTCTCACAGGTAAGCAACTGAGGTAAAAAAGACAAAAAAAACCCCAAAGGGTCAGACTAAACGGTCAATTTTCACAATGAACAGCAGTAAATAGTGAAGTCCCCCAAGGATTTGTCCTGGGACCAATGCTGTTCAACATACTCATAAATGATATGGGAAACGGGTGGTAAATTTTGCGGTGAATACAAAACTACTTGAGATAGTTACGTCCAAAGCTAACTGCCAAGAGTCACAAGTGGATCTCACAAAACTGGGTGACTAGGCAACAAAATTGGGTGTTAGCAAGTGCAATGTAACACACATTAGAAAACATAATTCCAAATATACATACAAAATGCTGAGGTCTAAATTAGTTGTTCCCACTCAGGAAGGAACATCATTGTGGATAGTTCTCCAAAAACATCTGTTCAAAGTTCAGCAGCACTCTAAAGAGCCATTGGAATGGTAAGAACCATTAGGAAAGGGATAGATTAAGTCAGGAAAATATCATGCCACTATATAAAGCCATTGTACACCCACATCTTGAATACTACATGCAGTTCTAGTTGCCTCATCTCAAAAAGGTATTAGAATTAGAAAAGGTACAGAGAAGGAAAACAAAAATGATAAGGGGTGTGGAACAGCTTCCATATATGAAAAGAGGTTAATAATACTGGGACTGTTCATTTTTGAAAAGAGATGACTAAGGGAGAATATGATGGAGGTCTATAATAAGATCATGCATGGTGTGGAGAGAGTGAATAGGGAAGTGTTATTTGTCTCTTCTCATGACACAAGCACCAACTGTCATCCAATGAAATTAATAGGCAGTGGGTTTACAATGGACATAAGGAGGTACTTCACCTAGCACACAGTCAGCTTGTGGAACTCATTGTCAACAGATACTGTGAAGGCCAAAATTATAAGCAGGTTCAAAAAAATAACTGAGTACGTTCATAGGCTCATCAATGGCCATTAGCCAAAGTAGTTAGGGAAGCAACCCCAGGTTCTGGGTGTTCCTAAATTTGTGACTGTCCAAGCTAGAACTGAACAACAGGGGATATCATTACCCTGTTCTGTTCGTTCCCTCTGAAACATCTGGCACTGGCCCCTGTAGGAAGCCCAGTATCTTGTCGAGCGAGATGGACCATTGGTCTGACCCAGAATGGCCATTCTTATGTTCCTCCATCTCCATCCCAACCAGTCTCCACTCATTTCACAGAAACAAGGATCTGAGTAACTTCATTTGCAATGCAACGAACTGCTCATACTCCACGAAGGTTACCATGGAACAAATAACTCTGAGTGCTTACCATTCTAGAAACAGCATCTAAATCAACAGGGTGCCTGAGATTTTCAAAGTCAAGATGCTCTGGATTCTAGTTCCACCTCTGACACTCACTGAGAAACCATAGGCAGGACAATTCATACCTCTGCACCTCCATTTACTCCTTCCTCTGTACAATGGGTATACAAATAGGTAAGCCACTGCATTTCACAAGCAGATGAAAAGGGCCTTTCCATTATTAAACAGATAATGCAAACATTTATATAGCCTCCCCGCAGAGATGTGTCGAGCAAGCCAGGTAATCACTAAAGGGCGCACAACCATTTTATGGGTCATCTAGTGATAAAGCTAATATGCCGCTTAAGCTCCCTGGGAGGGAGGTCTCATTTGGCAGCATCACGCCATTACCCAGTGCTGTAAAAATGTAATTATTTGATCTGCCTAAATACAGGTGAGAAGTGATAAAACTCCATGATTGCACTCTCTGGCTGTGCTATGGCAATCTCTAGGCAAAGACTGCCCTTTTTATTTGCCTGCCAACAGCACTGTACAGATAACATTTACGCACGTGCATGCACACGCATAATAAATAAAGCTGCAGAGAGGATAGGAGTCTTGTGTGTGGAGGAAGTCCGAGGGTTGTGTTTTATTATGATCTTTTCAAGATGAGTCCTTATAGACCAGGAATGTGCGATCAAATGAAGTTCACATCATCGCTTTCAGATTTGGGGGAGGGGGGGGGTCATTGCTTAAAAGAGGGAGTGAATTGGAGGACCTAGCATCCTAGCTCCAAAAGGTCAAAGTCTACAGCAGCCTCCAATATGAAAGCACTCAGCAGTGCAGAGAGAGAGAGAGAGAGAGAGAGAGAGAGAAAGGACCTTGATAGTATTACATCTTGATCAAGGAATGACTGATAATATTCCAGTGCACCATCTTTCAGGCCCCTCGTTTGATGACAAAGCACGGCCTATATCCCACATCCATTATCGGCTTCCCTCCCCGAGGCAAAAGCATCAATAATGCTCCCTCTTCCTGGTGATGCTGCACCCCCCCTTATGTGTAGCAGAGAGGACACTGCAGATGGCTGGTGGGCATTTCCACAGAGCAAGTGCACATCATTACAACCCGCCAATCTTTCACAGTTCTTCCAGCGGAGCCTGCTGTTACATAGGAGCATGGGTTTTAACTGTTTTGTGGCCTTTAAAAATGTCCGTCCTGGCAGAGAAAGAGACTGGTGTGATTCTCGGCCTTCTTCAGTGCAAGATCTCCCGTGCACCTGAAGGGGAAAAGCAAGCATTCAATTACAGCAGGTGAAAAATGCTCTAGCAATTTGGCACAATCACCAATGTTTTCTTTGTGGGTTTTTTTCTTTTTTTGCTGTTAATTAATAAGGAGAGTGAACGTCCTCATTCTGTATGGTTCATCCAAGAGGGCTAACAGTTTGAATTTGAATGCAAACATCTTCAAACATCTGTTGCCATAATTTGGCTGGATTAACGGTCTAGTTTGCTAGACCATCTGCCACTCTTCAGGAACATAGTCGGTTCCTAGCATTTTCAGTCCTGTCAGCACTGTATTCTGCATGAGACGCCTGGTAAGTTCTAGGTCTCTGCAATACTGGGATTAATTCCTGAAAAGAACCAATGGGCCTGACCACCTCCCTCCCACCCCCACTCTCACCCCCCCACAAATCCATGGGTGTTTTGGACCCAGGCATTTGGTTCAAACTATGATGGGGCCAGCAACAATGGTTCCTAGTTCTCTTCTGGATTTGAATCCTTTCACAAAATTTGGGGGGAAAACATCAGAGGGGTGTCTGCACCAGGCCACGAGGAGTCCTGTGGCACCTTAAAGACTAAGGCCATGTCTATACTACAGACAAGATCAAAGGTGCCAATCAATCTTCTGGGGTTCGAATTAGCAGATCTAGTGAAGACACACTAATTCGAACTGAGAGAGCACTCTCATCGATGCCAATAGTCCTGCTTCCATGAGTAAGGGAAGTCGAAGGGAGAGCATGTGCCAAAATTCAATTTAAGATACTTCGACTTAAGCTACACAATTTATGTAGCTCGAGTTGCATATCTTACTTCAAACTTAGGATAGGCCTATGCTAGAGAACAACAGATTTATTGGAAATAAGCTTTCATGGGCAAAGACCACTGATGAAGTGGGTCTTTGCCCATGAAAGCTTATGCCTAAATAAATCTATTAGTCTTTAAGGTGCCACAGGTTGCCTCGTTGTTTTGGAGGGAAGTGTTCAAATTCAAGATTTTGTTGTGTGTCCATCTCTACCAGAATGTGTTCTAAAGAAGTCAGTTGACTAGATTGATTATAAGCCCTCCTGAGACGGGAATGGGGAAATTTGCGGTTTTGCCATTGGAGGGTTCCATACAAGGAGGATGTGCAAAAAGGGCATAGGGAATGGAGTTAGTGTGATATGGGAGCACATTTTGAAGGAGCATGGATCTAGCTTTATCCAACAGCAGCAGCAGCAGCAGCAGCAGAAAAAAAAAAACACAACACCAACCAGCCCCTAGCATCTCACCCTTCCAAACCGTTCCTAGGAATTGCCCCATCTTTAGCTAAACGTCTTCACCCACTATTTGCTAATTTAAAAAATCAGGTAGTTTATTTGTCAAATACTATTCTGTTTTCTCTGGAGTGGGTCGGATAGTGGAAATATGCATGTGCAAATAATTTATTCAACAAACAACTGAACCAATTATTTGTTATATCATTAGACATGCTGTATTTGCAGAGCATTGTTTGAGTAATGCAAGCAGACTCAACACAAGTGGGCTGTAGGCTTGGCAAAGTCTCACTCGGACTTTTGGATTTGTAAAACCCAGGAGAATATACGGATAAGAGGTTTTTAAGTCTTGGCTTGACAAAGCACTAGTTGGGTTGATTTAGTTGGGATTAGTCCTGCCGTGGGCAGGGGGCTGGACTTGATGCCCTCCTTAGGTTTCTTCCAGCTCTCTGATTCTATAAGTATTTCATCAGAGCCAAACCCTGGATGTTTACTGTACTTGGAAAATACTTCTGTGAGAGTTAATGGACCAAACCCCAAGGTTCTTACTTGACCTATCTCACTGGGCACTTTCCATGGGTAGATCCCAGGACTAGGAATTTTAGGGAAGTCCTGATGACAAGGTGGAGAAGGGGGTGGGCAGACCATCACAAAAGGAGTGTCCTCATCTCTCATGCCCATGACCAAAAGCCATCTCCCCAGTTGTTTATCCACTACAAAATGAACAGTGGACTGGTTTCTGGGCTCAATGTCTGTCCTGAGGGGTATCCTCACACATGACTAAGCCAACAGCTGCCAGAACGGTAGGGAAGCCACTTATTTATCTTGCGACTCAGAACGAAAGCAGACTATAAAGGAGTCCAGGGAGCTGCAGGAGCAAATAAAGAGCCTCCCTGAGGGTAAAGGGACCAGCTAGAAGTTCGGTCAGCTCAGCTAGTCAAACAAAACAAGTTCTGGAAATATGGTAGAGGGACAAGTTTAAGAGCAGCTGTGGCATATAAGTCAGCTCAGGATTGTGAGTGCTGACAGGAGGACTCCATGATAGGACAGGTGTAATGATACAGAGGTTTGTAAGGGCCAAAAGGAGCCAAGCCTTCAGACAATGGAGATAGGATCAGAGAACACATTAGCCAAAATAAATGGCCATTGCTGGTCAAATGGCTGTAGCTAACGGAGTTCTCTTATTTTTTTCTATCATTCATCTATTTAAAAAAAGGTTTTGTAGAAGAGGAAAAAGTGATTTGGCCATTCTTGTTTGCCATATATTTCAAATGGTAGCCATGCACGAGAGATCCTTGTGTAACCAATCAGTTGCTTAATGCAAATGCTGAGCAATGGAAACCAGTCAGAGCTTTGTGCTACTCCTTGTTCCTTCTCCTGCTCAAATTGCATTTGGGCTATTAGGGGATACTAACAAGGAAGACATAAGAACATGGTCCATATATAGCCCAGTATCCCAGTAACAGTCACTAATGTCAAGTGTCCCAGAGGAAATGAACAAAGCAGGTAATCATCAGATGCTCCAAACCCTGTCACCCTTCCCACCTTCCAGCAAATGGGGGTTAGGGACACCATTCCTGCCTATACTGTCCAATAGCCAAAGTCTAGGTGAGAGTCTCTTCTGCATATTGATGACTCTGCTGAAGGTGTAACATTTGTCAGTTTCTCATAGACATTGGGTTGAGGGTCAGTCCAGACATGAATGAGAAAACCACTTGTAGCACAGAAGAAGCAAACAGAGGCACTGTAACGAGTATCCACATCCCTGCTAGTGGAGCATAGCCTATCATTTTCTTACATTGAAAGTTTTTCTGGGCTTGGCCATCTTTTTGTTATGTTTTCAACATCAAGTACAATGGGGTGCTGGCTTCTAGCCACTACCACCATACAAATCATAGTTGTTAATAATTAATACTTCCATGTTTCTAAGGTTCTCAATTTTGAGGGGGTAGAATCTGCAGCTGCTTCTGGATTCCCAGGTAACAGTGGTTTGTCAAGAGCACAACTTCTTACCCACCTTTGGCAACTAAATTGCATCCTTTACTCTTGCAATTTCTCATCTAGAAAGCATATCACACATATTGGCTACTGGTTGACTTCCAGAAGATGTTTGTAGAGTTTCAGAGCCCTAAATGACAGAGGCCCTTGCCATTAAAGGGATAATCTCTTTCTATAGGTCTTACCCTGACAGTTGAGGTCATCTCAAAGACTTGAGCTAACAGCCTATTATGGCCGTCTACACTCCTATTTTCATTCTTTTTACAAGAATGTGATAAATTCTGTGCAAAGTATGCCTTGTAAAATTAGAAAACACAACCTGCTGAATATCATTGTCCTGGTAACATGTGTCAACACTGTAGGTAAAGTTATAAGATTCTACTATACGATGTGGCTGAGATGTTCTGAGATTAGAAAAATAGCTTCAGACCACTTCCCCAGAGACAACATCTCAGCCATGTGCCAACAAAATCAAGCAGACTATCATCTGGTTCAGTGGTCATTTTTTGGGCAGGAAGAAGGAAATGAGCAAAAACTTTACATATTGGCACTGGAACTGCTGGGGATTTCCCTGTAAATAGACTGGCTGGTGCCTGAACTCCAGCTGCATCTGAGTGTCAAAGAGGAGGAAAAGATAAAATGAGGAACGGAGGCCCTAAATCACCTGTCTCCCTTCATCTCTACTCATAGCATCAACGTTTGGAAAGACAAAAGCAGCAGCATTGGACTGGGGGAGGCATCCTGGTGAGAAAGGGTTTTTTTTGCTTTAAATTAAATTTAATTTGTTAAGGTGGGTATTAGTTTGAGTTTTCCCTTTTATTTCCTTGTAGCCAATTCTGGCTTTCGTACCTTATTACTTGAAATTGCTTCAAATCTGTCTTTTTGTAGTTATGTGACAGGGTGTACTAAACCCGCACTAGCAGTGGAGGGGTTAATCAGATTTGCTGGGCTGAAAAGGCCCCTCCCCCAGGCCCTACTGGGCATGCTCCAGTTGCTGGGTCAGTATAAAGACTGGTAGAGCAGCTCAGTCAGGGATGACCACCAAAAGAGAAGGCTCTCCTGCCCCTGCTGGACCAGGGGGAACCACAGCTGCACCAGCTAGGGCCACAATAGCCACTGCCACATCAGCCAGAGCCACTGCGCCAGCCCTGGTCCAATGCCACTGCTGCAACACTGATCGCCACTGCCACGCCATCTACAGCAGCCATGCCAACCGCAGCTGACAGCACAGCAGTATTCACCAACCCAGGTGGGGACGGGGCCAGCCAGCAGATGGGGGTTGGAAGCAGCCCAGGGCAGGAGGTATTCCAGAGAGCTCGGTGTGCTTCGGGGGCAACTCCCTGCCAAGCCAGTGGTGGGAACTACTCTCTGCTGCTAGGACCCAGTGGAGAGGGAGGGCCTGGGTCCCCCTAAGCTCCCTCACCCACCCTTGCATCCCAGAGAGGGGAGCCATTCTTGTGCATTATGGACTTGGCCACTGGGCCATATTTGCCCCAGGCAGGGGGATTTGTAGACTCAGCCGTTGGGCCATATCTACCCCAGACAGGGGACAGTATAGAGTGGGCTGCTGGGCCAGACTTACACAGGATGTGCAACCCCATGACAAGTTAAAATAGTTAAGCAAGTTTATTATCTAAGCAGTGTATTTGGACTGGAGTGTTGAGGAATCTGCATTTGAGGTAATAGGGTTTATGCATATTGTTTTCTAACAACAAAATGACAGACCTTTTATGAGTTTGTATTGGCCAGGAAGTTGTTTGGTGGTACAAAACACACATTTCTGGGGACAAGTCTGGGACTGAGAGTTTGCAAGTATCACTCTAATATAGTTCAGGAGTGGCTAGCTAGAAGCACTTGTAATTTTGCATTCTAAAGGCTGTGTACAAATAGACCAGCTGTGGTAGTTCACACAGCAATGCTGTGTAAGAGACCGTGCAAGAAGGAGAATTATAGGGACACCTCTCCATCAGGCCAGATTGTATCCCGGGGAATGTCTCATACACTTCTCATGTAAATGGCAACTATTCAGAGGGCATTGTAGAGGAGTCTGACAAGGAGAGAGATGGCTTGATCATTACCTGTTCGGTTCACTCCCTCTGGGACAACTGGCATTGGCCACTGTCGGCAGACAGGGTGCCGGGTTGGATGGACCTTCGGTCTGACCCAGTACAGCCGTTCTTATATAAGAGGTTCCATTCCAAGTTCCAGCCTTCTAGTTTCCAAAGTACAAAGAAGCCACCTGGATAGGATCCTTCTTACCTAGAGGAGATGATCCTCTTATTGGGATGTTTGAGCCACTGATTGAGCAGTCACTGTGGCTCAGAGGAATACAAAGTAGTATGCCACAGCTGGTCTCTGTCTCTTGCTGCTGTTGATGTTAAAAGCAGCCAGGATGAAAATAACAAAGGTTTCAGCAACCACATCTATTTAATAAACAACAAATTCAAACGTTGGCCGGGCCACTCAGCCTTCTAAAGTAAGTGCATTAATTTAATTGGGTGGGGAAAATCATTCAATGAAGACGTTCAAAAACAGAAGTAATTTCTGACCTGCCTGAACATGAACGTTTCCCAGCTCTTTTCATAAGGAAACCAGTGCCCTCTTCCAAATTACCAGAGGCTCAGTTACTCTGCTGTAAGTGGGAATGGCAAAAGGTAAGCAAAGACCCATGATCCATAGTGCATCCTTGATATTGCTGCAAAACTCACATTGACATCTCTGGGAATTTTAAGGGTAAAATATGGCTCATAGAGAAACAGAGGCTATTAATTTGCCTAAACCTCCTAAAAATGGACCAACTTTTGCTTTCTGTAGCAGTTATATGAATGGAATGTGTACCTGTGAATTATGAATAAAATTTGGCCTATTGTTCTTTGGGCCATATCTACTCTGTTTTACGCTTTCAAAGGGATCTTCTGAGCACAATAATTAGAGCCAAAAAGAAAAAAAAGGTTGCAGTATCATTCTTTGCCAGTGAGATAAGCTAAGAGATGGAGAATCAATGTCCACACTGAATCTGCGTGTGAGGGTTTGTCTGCCTAACACCTGTTGCCTTCTCCAGTATCGGGGCAAGGAAAGGTCAGTTTCATCAAAGCAGTGAGCAAAGAAAGCCAGTTAATAGAAAACCGGTTTTTAATTGCTTTCTGTATTATAGATATACCTTCAACCACCTGAGACCACCTGAAACCCATTCAAAGCCTGGCCGCCCAGCTTACACATAAGCCTTTCATGTTTTGTTATAAGTCTGTTGATTTTTGCTTTCATTTATGCGTGGAAGAAAATGGGTGCTTTTCTCTCACCAACTCACGAGGGCCATTTTTAACCTTCTTTATACATGCACCAGGCTTGCTTCAGGGAAAAGGATACTCACTGTTCTATGGTTTGATGTTTAGCACATACAGACATCGGAGGAATACACTTCCAGCATGTTCAGAGGTGAAGTTCAATCCTCCCGCTCTTGTTACTATATAGTGATGAAAGAAATAATGTTAGTGTTGTTCATCTCTCTGGAAGTATTTTAAGTATTATGTACATCTTCCCAAAATCCAGCTTTCAGGAGGATTCCAATGAATGTAATGAAAGACTAGAAAAAGGTCAGGAATAAGACATTCATGAGCAGGGCCCTCCAAGAATTAGCTACAAACTTTCTCCCAACCTAATAGCTGTAGAATAATGCAGTGCACCAGGAAACCAGGTCAAATGAAATCACAGCTTTGTCAATGGAATCAATACAGCCACATAGGGTCCCAGACTACCAATAGTCTTGCCGTACACACAATATCTGACCTGACAACCATAGCCCCTTCTTCAAGATCCCAACCATGGCCCTGAGTCACACTAGCAGGTCACAGGCTACATTTCCCCTATGACAGTTATCCGTCCTGCTTGGAGAATTGTACTTTAATTACACCGTGGGGCTGATGGTCCATGTCAATGCTCCTTCCCCACTCTGGCACGATGAATGCAGAAGTGGGGGCCTGCAAAAGTACCCCAAAACCTTATCTTTCCAGGCTTTGGTAAAAATCTTCCCCCCAAAATCTTAACCTAAATTTTGAGGATAAAAGCTTCACTGCCACCACCCAAGTAATGATAAGAAAACCAGGGGAGAGATCACTTGGGAAACCTCACCCCTAAAGTAAAAACCAGGACACAAAAATTAACCAATACCAGGTTAATAAAAGAAACGAGAACTTTTTTATCACCACAATATTCCTGTTGCAAGCATCATGACTAGAGGGAAAAGTCACGAAGTAATACTGGCGGGGAAACCCCACCATGGGCCAGGAGCTTAGTTCCAAAGGAGAGCAAAGCCCATTTTTAAATGCACAGAGATCAGATCCCATTTCCCAAACCATAAAACAATAAAACCTAATGGATTTATCTAAACTTTACCCTGCTTACAGAAGACTGAAGAGTCTATTCTTGGAGGCAGACATTCTGTCTGACTCCCTCAGTAGCTGGAGAGAAACTGCCCAGGACAAAGGAGGGAAAAACCAAAAATTTCTTTGTCCCAGTTTGAAATTCCTGCCTACATTCCTATTGGCTCAATCTACCTGACTTCAGTAAGGTTAACCCCTTAGTTCCCAGGCTGCTGGCTAACCCCCATGATCATGACAGTCCATGAAAGGATTTTTAGATGCTGCAGAAATTCAAAAGTTGAGGAAGTGTTGTCACCACAGCCTGTAAGGCTAAGCGGTGCAGTAGCAGTAGTCAGCTAAAGAGAGATGTAGGGAGTAGGACAACATCTTGGTTTTGCAGCTGAAGCACTGGATGTGGATGCAGGAGCTGTAGGTTCAATTCCCAGCTCAGTCTCAGACTGTTTAGTGTGATGTTGGACATATTACAATCCCTCGATGAATCACTTTCTTAGCTGTAAAATGGGGCTAATTATCCTTCCTTTCTGCCATCGTGTGCCTAGCTCAGATTTTGATTGCTGGGTCCTTAGGATAGGGCCCATCTTGCTATGCATTAGTGCAGCAACTAGGACGATAGAGCCCTGTCTCAACTCTAGCAATACTAGGTAAATCAATAATGGTCATTGCTGTGGGTGGAGACAGGAAGGATCTGACTTTACTTTGCAGAAGGCCCCTCACACCTAGGGCCAGCCTTCTTCCAGGTTTCAAGCCTCTTTCGAAAGAGCATCAACAACCAGTACTTTCACAAAAGCAAGCCGCTTTTTCGAAAGGGAGCACCCATGCAGTCTGGATGCTCTCTTTTGAAAAAAAAAATCAGTTTGCATTACATAGCGCTTTTTTCAAAAGAACGCTTTCGAAAAAAGGCATTCTTCCTCGTAAAACAAGGTTTTCAGAGGTAAAAAAAACTGCCGCATTCTATCGATTTACTTTCGAAAGAACGCAACAGCAGTCTAAACGCAGGGGCGGTTTTTTCGAAAAAAGGCTACTTTTTTCAAAAAAAACCTGTACAGTAGTCTAGACACATCCCCAGCGACATCCAGCTATGCCTGCTGGAATTTTAATTCCAACAGGAAATGCAAGCAGCAGCCTGTCTACTCCTTGTTGCCTTGTATACATGTGGTGGCCCCAGCCAGCTACCACACTCTTGAAAAACCGTTCTTGAGCTGGAGCCAGTGACCTTGCACTGTCCTTGAGGCCCGCTGGAATGCAACCTCTTCTCCCTTTGCCAGCTGGCCTTGAGGAAGACAGCAAAAATGTTCCACTTCAGTCCACTGACATTGGGGAAACTAGTTTCTACCATTCCCTTCAGCCAGATGATCTCAGGGAAAGTCACCACCAGCTCTTCAATCTGGGCAACCTAAGAGTCTAATTGAGACAAGAGCATTAGCTCTGTAGGACAGAACCAAATGTAAATTAACCAGCCACATCTACTGAGCTGGATTAATGCTACAGTCAGATCTTTAGCTGGTATAAATCAGCATTGTCCAAAGGAGCTATGCCAGATTACTCCATCTGAGAATCTAGCCTGGCCTGATTCAGGTTTCCCATGATAGCATATACTTCTGCTTGTTAGTTTCTCATCACTGGCCATTCATATTTTTATACAAAACAACTAACACCTTGATACCAGTGATGGGTGATTTAGATATGTAGGCCAACTGTCTTTCCACATATTCTAATCCGTAAATAGGTTAGGATTTCTCCCAGAGGTGCTGGAAACAGGGATGTAGGGGATAATATAGCACCCTTTGCTTCAAGTGGTTTCCATTATATACAGGGATTTACGGCTTGGTAAAATGGCTCACACCACCACCCGTTATACAAGTTGTTCCAGGGCCCCGATTATTCCTGGTGTCTTAAACCATTTCCTCAGCATGTGGCAAGGTTATTCCAAGAAGCATCCTGTATCCAAAATGTGCAATATTGGCTTTTAAGGCTGATGCAGTAGGATCGTATCAGAGCAAAGGGTAACAGGCTTTTGGGCTTTGCATATTTGGATTACACTTCTACCGCCTTGTCACTCAGCTGGCACCTAACTTTTTTTCCCTGTTATTTAAATGGTTTTAAACGTGAAAGTAGGCCACAAAAAAGGGGGGTAACATTGTTTTAATAATTAGCAATTATGCTCACTGCAATATTAATTGCATATTTCCATAGCAAACACCCCCCTGGAGGGGACAGTGAACAGTGGTTAGAGACTGTCGAAGCCTAAAACTGGAATTCCTAAGAACAGAAGAAAAAAAGAGAGAATGAACTTCTTACATTTGAGTAAATTACTACAGGGATTCCTTAGAAACCTTTAATTAGCCCTGTTCTGCTGTAGCATTGATTGGTCTGCAGCTCATCAATTATTCAAGGACTGTGCTCTTTATTTTCCTTGATTCACCCCTCGCCCCATTATCTTTTAGGGAAAAGAGGATGTTCTTAATCTGCTGGGGCGTTTCTGTTTCTATGTCATGAAGCCACAAGACACACGCCAGAAAGCCTGTCTGTTTCCTATAAACGGCCCAAACCCTGCTGGGATCCAGTCTGATTTTCACAGCTCTCCGACAGTGAAGCGATGAAATGCAGTTCCCATGAGTGCATTTATTTTGCACTCACCTGGATTTTTGTCATGCAGTGAGAGAGTTTGCTTGATAAGAATTGTGTGGTTAACAGAAGATAAAAAACATGCATCTTAAGGACATAACAGCCATACTGGGTCAGACCAAAGGTCCATCTAGCCCAGTATCCCGTCTTCCAAGAGCAGCCAGTGCCAGATGCTGCAGAGGGAGTGAACAGAAACAGGGAATCAAGTGATCCCTCTCCTGTCATCCATTTCCAGCCCTTGTCAAACAGAGGCTAGGGACACCATTCCTACCCTGCCTGGCTGATAAGTATTGACCTAACCTCCATGAATTTATCGAACAGGGTTAGAAAAAACTAAAGTCCTGGTCTTCAAAACATCAACACCTTGTTCCATGCTGGCTATTAGAGATCTCTTAACACTTGTTTTCCTGGTGTTAACTGTGTTGTCCTGGCCAAATTCCAACTCGGAAAATTGTATTTTTCCTCCGATTCCCTTCTACCGCTTCCAGTGAAGAAGGTATTCTTTACTTCCTCTTCTGACCCATGCAATCACCCTGCATAGCAAAACAGGTGTTGAGGTTCTTCCTAAGAGATGGTTGCATTTCTGCTGGAGGAGTGATTCTTGGGTAAGTGTAGATATGGATCCAATTCAGTTGGCAGTCACATTCTACTCTGGAGCAAGCATGTCCAGCTTCCGCTGGACTCACCTGGAGCTGCACTCTACTCCTGTGCTAAATTTGACCCAGAACATTTGGAATCTTTATGAATGAAAAACTATTCTAAATGGGGGATTCCATTGCACTTATCCCAGGGAAAGGAAAAAAATGACAAGAGCTGTCAGGCACTGGAGCGAGATGCTGAAAGTTAAAACCAAGACTTCTAAGTCTCAACTCTGTCATGGGCAGATTGACCAGTTACAATCTCTCCATGGCTGTATCCTGTGTAAAATGGGGAGAATGCTACTTACCCACCATTGATTCTTACTTGTACTACAGCAGTGGTAGAGGCAAGGACACCACTGGGCTAGGCTCTATACAAACATAAGGAGACAGTCCCTAGACATCATACTACTGTCTTATTTGCAAAGGAGAAGATACATGGTATAGAAGTGCAGAGTTTATTATTATTAGTGTGGACTAGCACTCTGCAGTACATGTGGCAGAGTCTGGGGATTTTATAGGCTAAGATTGGCCTCTTACAGAGACTGTACCACGCAGTCCCCTGATTTCTAATGGGATTTACACGTGTTATGGAAAGAACACCCATCCCAGGGATAGGTTCTCCTGTGTCTAGTGCAATGATCACATGCTTAAAAAGGGGGCTAACCAATGGGTTGCAATCCTCCTTCCTTTGGAAACAATGTCAAAGCAGAATTTGGGAGTTGGGGTGATATTGTCCAAAGTGCTTATGGCCCAGATCCTCACAGGTATTTAGGTGCCTTCTGGGTCCAAGTGCCTCCCAAACTCAGCATCCAAATTCCCTTAGCACTTTTGAAAATCCCACTGCAGCATCTGAGGGTTGGCTTCTGCCCTCCGCTCCGTCAATGCAAATCAGGAATGAATCCGCTGAAGTGAATGGAATTGAAGCAATGCAAGTGAGATCAGCACCAGGCCCTCAGTCTCCAGTGTCAAAATAGCCTCACGGGTTATCACACTGAGGTCAAACCAATAGATACTGCCCAGAATGTGTGTTCAACAGGCTACAGCATTCAGAGATTTCACGACCAGCAGAGACCATTGTGAGCATCAAGTCGGAGCTCCTGTATAACATACGCCAAAGCACCTCACCTAGTGGTTCCTGCATTAAGCTTCTAATGCCCTTTTAATCAGAATATAATGGCCTTCAAAAACAGTCTTTCTTCCTCATGTTAACCTGGGTTCCAGTCCCAGAGAAGCATTCCGAAAGGGTCCCAGACATGACAGAAATCGGAATCCCCTACAAGATTCTGTACTGTACTATACAAATCCAATGGAGCCATTTCAAAACTGCAGCCTTGAAATGAACCCCCACCATCTCACATCTTTAACTAGCCACTTTTTCCTGTAGAAAATAGGACCTGCAAGAAGCCATAAAAATTCAGTTCTCTTACTATCTTCCACATGCTCAGACAATAGCTTCACTCACTGTGTGCATGTACACATATTAGCCAGAGTATTTCCTCTCCGACTTACCTGTGTGAATTTATTCCAAAAGCTAGCTTTTGGAAACCCATAATTATAATACAGCAAATAATCTAGTAGCACCTTAAAGACTAAACAAAACATGTAGATGGTATCATGAGCTTTCATGGGCACAACCCACTTCTTCAGATGACTGGAGTGTTGGAAGTCCACAGATTTTATGTAAGTGTCTTGCAGTGTAGTTATTCTACAGTAGAGAAAAATACACAGGAGTAGAAGTATGTGTCTATAAATTAGATGCTGGGAAATTACAGCAAACAGCTTACTATGAAAAAAAAAATAGGTAGATCCAGGTCTGAGAAATGCCAGCAAGTTTAAGCTTCCACCATTCCCCCACATTTTAAAACTTTGAAAAATGTTGGCCAAGTATTCCCTGCCTTTAGCTGCTCTGTTGTCTAATTCCCTCTGCCAACACACCATCCTCCCACATGTACTCCCATAGAATGCAGGAAGGATAAAATACAACAAGCAGGTGAAGTTTTATAGGAGGCTAAAGCATGAGGAGAAAAGCAGAATCCAGGCCTGAGAATCAGCTGATTGTTTTGAGAGAACGGAGTGAGCAGGATCAGGGTAATATTTTACAATTAACTCTAACATTGCTTCCCATATTCTTCATAGAATTATTATAGGATTACAGTACAACTATGATGTATTTCAATTGCATTTTTACGTATTTGCTCAGAAATCTACTTTGATCCATTAACTATCCCTTATCACTTAAAATGCATCTTTTTGTAGTTAATAAACTTGTTTAATTTGGTCTAAAAAGTGTGTGGCAGTTATAACTTGGGACAAAAAGCTTTTGTACATCCCTTCACACTGACTGAGACGGTGAATTTCATGAGTTTATGCTGCACAAATTTACAGATGCTGTGCAGAGCAAGATGGCATAATATTAGGTTTACACTTCAGGGGGAAGGGGATGCCTTAGGAACTGGGAGGTGCGTTTCAATGCAGAGCTGATCACTACATCTGATGTTACCAGCACACAGAGAAGTACGGTCACACTCAGCTCAAGTAAAGTCTAGTGAGAAGCCTCACTCATCCCCAGGAGAAAAACTGTCAAACAACTCTCCAAGTGAACCATTTTGCTAAGTCAACCCAGTATACAAACCACTAAAATTCAGCTACCTCAGAGTCTTTGGGAGGTGCGGAAGGGAGGGGTTTGAAATGAAAATGTTCTCAACTGCCTCATTTTTCAAAATTTTATTCAATTTTTCTAAATCAAAACATTTTTTGTAGGCCAAAGACCATTTCATGGTTATTTCATGTTTTTCACCCAGAGTTCCTCCTAAAAATGAAAAATAAGGCATGACATTTTTGTTGGAATAAGTGAAAAACTGTTAATCCTCCCTCCCCCAAATAAAAATGTTCTTTGGCTATGGTTATTGTCTTGAACTGTCAGACACAGAAACAAGGTGGGTGAGGTAATGTCTTATCAGACTAGCTTCTGTTGGTGAAAAAAATAAACTTTCGAGCTGCACGTCTTTCTGACCTGAAGAAGCGCTCTGCGGGGATCAAAAGCTCGTCTCTTTCACCAACAGAAGTAGGTTCTATATACGATATTATTTCTCCCAGGCCTTGCTAATATCTGGGCACCAACTCAGCCACAACAGCACTTCAAGAGTCAGTCATATACAGAGCAGAGGCAGCACACAGGACTGGTCCAGGACTCCAGGGGACAGCTCGTCATGAAAGCCACAATTTCTGGCCTTCTATTAGAAAAGATGGGTAAATACTTTGTAGAGGGAGTATTTGGGCTATTGCATGATAATTTAATAGCATTTTGGCTCAGTGTGGGGGAAATGGCAATAAAATGTACAGGATACATGCTATATTTGTGAGAAAGCTTCCACGTGTTCAACCCTCAGTTCATGGGCCTCAGAGATAAACTAATTTGGGTTATACATCTTTCAAGGGAATAACACTCTCCTGTACTTCTGCACCCAAGCCACCTGGACTTTGGTGCACTGAAGTGATTGGGTCCAACATGCCTGCTTACCCTCTCTCAGGAGCAGGTGAGGAAATAGACCATGGGAGGGCAGAACCCTGCTCTGATCCCACGGACCAAACCAGACAGCCTGTGAGATCCTTTCCATAGCGAATGTCTAGGATTCTGTAATAACAAACCTATGATTTCTCTTTGGCAGCACCTTTCTTTTTTACAGTAGCCTTCAGCATAAAAGGAAGGCAAACAGAATCCCCCCTCCCCAAAATAGTGAGTGCAATAAAGTGTGTCCAAGAACGTCAGTTATGAATTTAACATGTGTCCAGTTCCAGAAACACTAAGCTCCACACACGTTTTAAAATGCATCCTGGATAGTCATAGTGGAATATCACACAGTCCTTCGGTTATTCTCACATCCAGCCACCCCTTCACAGACATTGCTTCCTTCCTACAGAAACGCTGAACCCTTTGCCCCAAGAGGGGGATGAGGGAGATAAGAAATGATCTGTTGACTATGAATTTCATTTATCTTTCCACCTTCCTCTATTTAAACTATATGGGGAACAGCTTTGCTTACTATGTGTGGACACACATATTAGCTTGTGTATTTCCTATCCTACTTATCCCTGGGAATTTATTGTAAAGCTAGCTTTTGGAAACCCAAAGTAGGATGCAGTCTTGTGGATTTTATGTTCTGTTCAATGTTTTGCAAGGTAGTTATTTTACAAGCCCCGATACCTTAGAGGAAAAAATGAAAAACAGAAACCTTACAAAAATAAAAACGTTAGAAACACAGACCACGTGCTTGCCTTGGATACTTGTGCTGCTCTAATGCAGTGACCCTAAATGCATTTGATCCAACAGTAAATACTCTGTTTAGTTGCTGAAGTGAGGATCATGGATCACAAACAGTCCTCGGACTGCAGTCACTCACTACCCCTCAGCTTGCTGGTACCAGCAGGCTGCGTGGGCTAGTGCCATGTTTCTCAAATGTGACCAATGAGGGGGGTTTCCTGCAGCCACATCAGCTTCCTGAGAGGTGATTGGGGGGAAAGGGGAGCATTGGCCCCTTCTTCCTCTCTGATCCTCCTAGATGCACAGCCTTGAATGGAGACATGTAGGGCACAATGCTGCAGGAGCATCATGAGTTCTCTACCTGGGAGTCAGGGGGCAATGAGATTTGGGGTGGTTGGGAAGGAGACTCCAGCAGTGGGACTTAAGGACCGTGCCTCACAGACCAAGGCTCCAGCCAAGGGGCTTCAGGTGTCAGCGCTAGGCTCTGGCTGCAAGGTTTCGGGCGCTGCCCCCCAGCTCGGGATACATGGCCCCAGTCTTTGGCCCCGGGGCTTCAGTTCAGGCTTCAACCCTTGGCCATGTGGCAGCCGAGTCCAATCCCCAATTCTGGCTATGTGGTGCTGGCCCTGAGACATGCTCCCTGGTGGCAGCTGCTAGTCACGGGAACCAGCCACTGAGCCTGGCAGCAGTAACTGGCCCTGTGTATCACCCTGGACCTCACTGCCTTCCTGGCCTTACATCCCCCCCAACCCACACCCATCCCACTATGCTCCCCCTCTCCACACCGGGCTTAATGTGCCCTGGGACTCGCCGATATTAACAAACATACAAATATTCACAGTAACATTTGTATTATTGAATCTGAAAGAACCAGCAGGTATCGATTACAATGACATGGAAGTGCTATTAATTAACCCAAAATATTTTAGGAAAAAGTTGAAGTTCAGCCGTCAGTGTGGCTACCAGCAAGAGTTGGTGACCACAAGCTGAGGCTACCAAAAAATTTGTTGAGACCACTTAGGCTAGCGAACCCTAACTCACCATAGAGCAAGCTCCCACTTGGAGAGGTCTGGCCTCTGACTGGCTCCCACTCACGGATGCCAGAAAGCAGCATAGGATGTTGTCCGATGAACTAAGTGAATCCCTGCACTATACTGGCCCCTGCATTCTCACCCAACACCTGAGCAATAGTTTGTTTCTGATTAGCGCCCTCCTGTCCTGTTCCAGGTCCCTGCGTTTACGCTCCACCCCACAGCAGCCAGGAAATTCAGAGTTGGTGCACACACCAGGGCCCAAATCCATCCCTCCAGCAGAGCCAGCAGAACAGAGCTCATGTGGAGCCATGATGCCAGTTACCAAAATCTTCCCCTCTACCAGCGAGCCTGGAGCTGGTCAAATGCAGAAAACGGGCACGGCTGGCCAGGGAGGGAGGGAGCCAGGATAAGCAGGCAATGCACTTTTTCAGTTCATCACCCAGCAGCCTCCACCAACTTACGGAGCCCAAAGAACTGCAGCTGCCCTGTTAGGCCTTTCGCTAGAGGAAAAAAGTGTGTTCTCAGCTCAAGTTAACGTGAGGTAAAACCCAGTGAAGGCAAGGCCATAGTAGAAGCACCAGAAATAGGATGTTCAGATTTTCAGGGCTCTCTTATATAGGCACCTGTTACCATGCCAACCAATGGGCAGCAGTGGTGGCCAGAGCCGTAGGCCCTTTAAATTGCCATGGTAACGATGCACCACACATTCTAGACAATGCTAACGGGGGTGGGGGTGCACCCTTCTGGCCTAGGTCCTGCCCTTTCTGGGAGCATAGAGCTGCCTCCCCTCTTCCCCGCCCACCCGCTCCCCCCTCCCACACACACACACACACACACACACTTTGCCCCAGTGCCCTACCTATTACCCCTCACTGCTTGCCCCAATTTTTCACACTTGCTGTTTGGCCTAGGGGATACAGATTGGATTACAACCCTGGGGGAGGGGAAATTCCGACAGTCTGGAGCCTATCCATGGGAGTGCAACTTTCATATACCATGGACATGAATCACAAGAAGCTCATTAACTCATTACGTTTGCCAGGGTCTGTAGGGGGCATTTCACAGAGTTTGTCATCATAGCTGTTATTTCTATTACATTTGTACTGTCCCAACCAAGACTGGGGTCCCCTTGTGCTAGGCACTGTCCACTCACACAGTAAGAAAGAATCTCTTCCCTGGACAGCTTGCAATCAAAAATAGACAAAAGAAGAATTACTGAGATAAACAGACCAAGAAACTTGCCCAAGGGCACATAGGAAACCTGTAGCAGAGCCGGGAATCTAGCCTAGGCTCTTGCAAGTCCCAATCCAACACCTTATGCAGAGAGGCCATCTCCATCTCACAGCGCTGTGCTGCACAGCCTACACGCAAGAGGGTATGAGCAGGGGCAGCGATTCAACCTGCCAGAGTTGAAGGCAGACTCAGCAGTCCTTGACAATGGCTCCTTGCAATCCCAAATTTCAGTACCTGCAAGAACCATATTACCCAAGCAAACAAACAGAAAGCATTCCAGTTTAAGGTCGTCTTTGGCTATCTACGCCAAGACAGACTTCAAGGAGAACATACAGCTCATAAAAATTTAATACTATATGTAACAAAGCAAAATGAATATTTAATCGGTGCTTTTATGTGAAACCAGATAAGAAAAACAGTCCCATAGAAAAAAAATAAAAACCCACTAACATTTGATAAAAACTGGTGCTGAAGCAGTTAAGCTATTGGCAACAAGCGGCTCCTAATAAACACTCAGCTAATTCTGTAGGAAAAGCACTAATTAGAAAAGCAATAATAATCGGTGTAATTGCTCTAAATTACCCTCCTAACAGAGAAGTGTGTTTGGATACGGAAACGCAGCTGCTCCTACTACATACAGTAGCTACTCGCCAAGTCAGCTTTTCTTTTCTCTGCTGCCCTCTTGAGGTCCACGGGAAAAAGTCGCCTCATCCTGAAGAGGACGGAGAGAGACCCTCCAGTGTCCAAACAACTGACTTTAAGAAAAGATGGGTCATGGGACTGCATGATTCACATTAGCAAATTTCCAGCCAAGCAAGCAAGCAAGCAAGAAGTTGATAACATCATTGCTACATTTCCTAGCTAAATATGCACATCTGTGTCTAAAAAGAAGTTGAGATGAACTCCAGTGGGACCTGCCGCTTGAAAATCCAGTTCCTTATATATGTACCTAATATCAGGGTTGGCTTTAGTGCGCATCCCTGGATTCAGTTGCATCCACAGAAAGAATAAAAGCAAGGGGGCCCAACCTGTGATCCTGTGCACCAGCCTCCAATGTGGCCAAGCTGCCCTTTCGTCACAAGAATGTGCCTGACACTGGAATGCCATGCACACAGCACTGGTCACAACACGCGGAGCGGGGAGCCATGCTCAGTCCTGCAGGACGGGAGACACTGCCATAGGCAGGGGTCCTGGGGTCAATTTTCAGCTCTGCCCATGAGCTTCCTGCATGACCACTCTTTGTACTTCATCCTTCAAATGGGACTAATAGTACTGCCCTACCTACTGGTACATTACAGATTATGAGGTGCACTTATATGGGGACCATATAAGGGTCTTTGAGGCACAATTGGATTAGCAGGAAATGGTAACTCATTACATTGGTGAGCTCTGAACTTTTCATCTCTCACATGAGAGACCAACAGACAAGTGGACGAGAAATTCAGAAAAAATGACTTGCGATCTGGACAGCTGGATCTTAGAGGATGGAGACGCATGCCTTTGAGTTCCTGGCCCTTCTAAAAGCTCTCTAGTTAGAGGATATGACAACTTCTGAATAGCTTTGTCATATGTCTATCTACCATGTTTATATCCTACCTCTGACTTCAGGGAAGATTGTCAAACGTGTCTAGGATCTACGTATTAAACTAGAGTGTGTTCTTGCTTTCCAGAGACACTCAATTCAGTGGGAGTTTGGGTTACAGAAGGCATCCAGAGCCAGCTCACATCTGCAAGCACAGCACCATTTCAGCATCCAATCTCGGCTTTTACCTGTAGAGTATATGGCAGGAGAGGGAAACCTAAGGCCTGGGGGCTAGTTGCGGTTGCTGGCTTGCCTAAGTCTGGCCCCTGGGGCTCAGGGCTTTCTCCCCCCGCCACCCCTCCAGCATTGGGGAGCCCATCCTGGCACTCTAGTCCCCACCACCCTCCTGTGGGGCTGCACAACATAAAATCTACTAGTCTGGGGTCCCCAGGCTCTGGTGGGGAGTGTCTTTTTCCTTCTCAGTTGGGGGGCAAAGCCAGCCCAAGCTACAGGCTGACCGGGCCACACATGCACCAGGCACCCGGGGGCGCACAAATGGCTCGGGTCGGCCCTAGTCGGGGGCCATGTCAGTGTAGCCTTTTTTGTATGCATGTATTTTTCTTCTCACTCTTGTGTGTGGCCCAGAGTGATTTTTCTATGGGTCAGCAGCCCCCAACACAAAAAAGATTCCCCACCCTGATACATGGGCAGGACTCATTGAAGGCACCTTGAAGTCAATGACTTCAGTGAGCATAGGAACAAAACCTGACTGAGCAAGTCTTCTCTCTCTCTCTCACCACTAGGATACTGTAGCATCAGAGACACAGCCAGGTCGTCCCACTGAATTGAATAATTTGCCGGAAGGGTTCTATTTTGTGTCCTTCCCTAAACAAAAAAATAGACAATGAGAACTGCCACAGAATGGAGAACTGTTTCCACTGCATGTTTTAAAAAATTGTGATGGTTGGTTAGAAATTTAGCCCAGTCAGTTTCTTTGTAAACAAAGAATCCCCTAAGAAAAATTTAGTACTGGACATTAAGACCAATATCTCAGCAATGCACAAGTAAACCTTGCTGGACTAGTGAGAGCTTATGACAATTTGAATAGTTGATTAAAAGGGTAAGAAGAGCCACAACATACAAAAAATATGCATTTTCCATTAAGATTCAGCTGAAAATAAGATCAAGATTAGCATCAGTTCTAGAAGCCTGTCTACAATGCTGCGTTATACAGCAGTGACAACTACTTTATTTTGGACTTTAAAATAAATGATGATATAATCACAAAACATTGATTACAGAATGCCATTAATTGACTTTTTTCCATTGGCACATTTAAGTAAAGAAAAGAAAGTGAGTAAACTAACTTTCACTGATGTTAGTTTATTTTTATTTTCTTCTTTAAGAACTTATTTTCTTCTTTTTTAAAGCATTTGGATAAACAGTGAAATACTTATCAATGTTGACGTTTAGAGGGACATCATTTGCATCTGCATTAACAAGTGTTGCTACAAATGCAGCAGTACACATCTAAGAACAATTGTTTCAGACTTTCTGCAAACTCAGGTGAAGGTATGCGTCTTGGTCAGCTGTTCCAAGGGAAGGGGCTGCTTAATTTGTAAAACCAGGAACTTTCGGATGATGCTAGGAAACAGTCTCAAACCCAAAGCACGATTAGCTTAACAGATTATTTTCTGACAGCATAAACTTAATATCCTCCTGATGAAAACTTGGTAGGCATGTCTGGAATTCCCCCCTCTCCAATTCACTCACCTTGGGTCAGTGGTTCTGAAGTTGTGGGTTGGGACCCTAAAGTGGATCCCATCCTCCTTTTAATAGGACCAGCATTAGACTTGGGCTCCAGCCTCATTCACTGCCCCCAGCCAGGGCAGTGGGACACTGGCTCCAGCCCCCTCTCCTCTGGGGTCATGTAGTAATTTTGTCGTCAAAAGGGGATTGCAGTTTAATGACGTTTGAGAACCCCTGGCTTAGGAGAAATAAATCTCTAAAGGCAGGGGTTCTCAAACTTTGCGATACTGCAACCCCCCTCTAAGTTGCTGCAACCCCCCGGGAGGTCGGGACCCCAGTTTGAGAAGTGTGGTCTTAAGGTGATTAATTTGATTTTTTTCCAAGTCCTCCTCTGGAGTCTTAGGGGCAAATTCTGCCCTGCAATACCACACAGATTTCAATTGCATTGCATAATTGCAACAGGGGGTAGAATGGAGGTTAATTAACCATTGGGACTAGTTAGCAAAGGACAAGGACTTCAAGTGTTGGAGAATCCACCATAAGTCAACTCAGGAATCCCTAACTAAAATCCTACAGCCTGTCTCAGGTAGCTAGAGTACAAGATCACAAGGGGTTATTTTAGATCTTGAAATGCACAAACGCCAAACAGAACAGGGACTGCATGTAAAAAAGAGACACACAAAACTTAACTCAGACATTCCAAATCTGAATTAAGTGAACTTAAAGCAGCTCCTGAGACAGTTAAAAAAAAGGGGGGGAGGGGATAGACTCATTTCCACTTACATCCATGTAAAGTTAAGTAACTCTAGTGATGTCATTGGAGTTATTCCACTTAAATAAATTGAGAATCAGGCCTAGAATTATTCCAATACACAGAAAGGACATATTGTCGAACAATGAGTCCAAGGCTCACCTGGGTTTTATTTCCATGCAATTGTACTTACTTCAGTGGCATTACTCCTTACATACTCGTGCATAAATGAGAGGAGAATGTGTAATTATGTTTAAATCCTTTCATGTATACTTCAGGGTTATTTATCTTGGTTTAATGAGCCATTAAACAAATACTGTACTTTAGGAAGTACAACTATTGCTTATGAAGAGTTATAGTTTCTTTCGTGTTCAACAATCACCATGTGCTCTAGGGCTCATCTGGCTAGGTACATTAAGAGTATACAGAGCAA